AGGCTAGAAAAGGTTAAAAAAGGGGGGGTACCTAGCGAGCATACCTATTAATAGGTATACTTTGCTAGGTAGTGTTGATAACTTAGCTAATACTAGGCAGAATAAGCTAATTCTTTTTTTATTAGAAGGCGCAATACTAGGCGCTTCTATTGAATAATAGATTATGTAAGCGTATCTCTGCTAGTTAAGAAGCTATAAGCCAAAACGTAAAAAAGCATACCCTACCCATCCGCCAGCCTACTTCAAGCCTCAAGGATGCAGCGCATCAAGGTGATCGTTGATCTCCGTATCCGCGACGTGCATTGTGCAGATTGGACACTCAACAAGAGCTTTCTTCTCGACAATTATAGCGTCGTCGTCGCCCTCTATATTGAGCGGCCGTTTCTCACCTGCGCTAGAGCTGACTACAGCGTCCTTGATTGTTGTACTGGAGGAGGTTTCACCCTCTTTACCCGGAGTATCGATCATGTCGGCACCGCCATTCTTCCTTGATTTTGTAATCCAACTGTCAAGCTTGTTCTTCTGACGTCCAGCTCTCTCCTTACCGCTCAGGTTCTGGAGCTGCTTCTTCGTAAGCTCAGGCTCACCAATCTACGTGTACGTTCCTCCACATTCAGATTCGTGTCTTGCCCACCAGGCGTCTGTTTTACCAGGCGCTGGGTTCATGCTACGCTTTACTTGGCCAAAGAAAAGTGGCTGCGTCTTGCACGGTCCGTCGCACAGCGAAACGTGCGTTCGGTAGCTGTCCACCTCATCGTGGAACGAATGATAGATGGTAACCTCGTAGTTGCCGTGGTTGTTAATGGTGTCAGCGAGTGGCTGGGAGCCTGCAACATGACCGGTCCTATCGTCATTCCTCGAGTGTTTACACGATATCGTGATAAAGAAATAAGCGTGTATGGCCTTATGCAGGAGTGTGTTGGTCGTGTCAGAACGCGGACGATACTGCAACGAAGGCGTGCTCAGCTTCAGGCGAACGCGCGTGAACTTGTCGGTCGAGGGATATTTTGAAAGATCACAGATACCAGCACATCTGGAAAAAGAGTTAGCACACGTTCCATACGCGATCCTGGATGCACGTGGGTCGGCCCGGCCGTCAATCTGAAACCTTTTTCCAGGATTGCTCTGCTGAAACGGTCACAGAGGACATTTATAGTGCAACACATGGAATAAATGCTTACAGAGTCAGTCGTGGCGACCAGATCGCCTCGACTCGTGGCACCAGGGGGTTCCTGAAATACAGCTTATCGTAGTACCCGAACAGCTCGCAAATATCAACAAACGGCTCCCCAATGTTGATGATGGCGTTGATCGCATGCAGTGCGTCCAGTTGCTCTGTCGTCAGGGCGTCTAGAGCTGCGATTGCATTCAGCGCGGCATTCTCGTCCGTGATGGGCATTGGAACATTCTGCGAAGAAAGAGGCGCGTTTCAGGGTGAGCTAACGCTGATCGTTCCGGAACATCAAGCCGGTAGGGCAGGCATTGGCTGTCAGGCATGTGGCTAGAGGATGGGGATCTGGCTGTCGGTCCGCCAATTTAGGGCCTTAGCTACGTGGAATGGCCATCTGCGCCCAAGGCTCCAAGCACCGCGAATTATGCCTAGAGCCCCCTTACAGTGCGCTTTATTGCAGCCCATTCCTTTCACCGTCATTTCCCCTGACGTGCATTGCCCGCTGCCTCGAGGAATTTTGAAGGGCTCCGCGCAGTGAGAATAGCAATCACCCATATCGATGGATGACGCAGGCAAGCCCACAAACAACACGAGCATACAGCAAACACATAGACCGCACGCTCACCTCAACACCTCTGCAGCGAAAGCCTCTCGCGCACGTCCTCTATTCACCACACGCATGCGCGCACTCACAGCAAAGCCTGAACGAAATGGCGGCCGTCGACACTCAACGGTCCGCCGATCTCGTGCGCACCGCTTCGCAAACCTCGACGCTCTCCAACCCCAGGAACCGCAGCATACAGCGCGTACGGCCAAGCAAACGTGCTTCCAATACCTCTCTGAGCCGCAGCCGTAGCAGACACCCATCTCCGCCAGAGGACACTAAGAGCCTAACCTCGTTCCCCTCTTTATCGCCGAGTCCAGAGGTGTCTCCAGTACAGTCACGCATCAACGGCTGGTTTCGCGCAACGAGTGGCGTGGCAGACGAAATTGTCAAAGATGGCCACAATAGCACAGTAGCTTCGCCGGACACGGCGAAGGCTGTACCGCCGCCTGACGCTCTCAAGAGCCCTCTCCCAGCGTCCACTGTGAGGAAGGTCACCAAATCAACACAGCAGATTGTAGGCAGCTTGATGGGCGCTCCTTCTGCCAGAGACCGCTCTGCGCTTTTTGATGATACGCCGACCGAAGCTTCGAAAGTGCCTGGCAATTTGCACTTCTCCACCGACCAGAACATCAAATATGCAATTAATCAGTCGGGCGCCGTTGCTCTTATCAGGCAGCTGGCCGGCGATCTGGCGCAACGAGATGCACAGATCACTGCACTACGGCGGAGAGCTGAAGAACGTGAGCGCATCCTGAAGAAGATGTTGCAGGAATGCGAGGTTTCCAACATGGACATTGAGACTCGACTTCGTGATCTTGAGAAAAGCAGGGAGCAGCCAAATGAACTCACGAAACAAAGGACCCGAGGCGACAGTGCGCTCTCTGGTCTGCATCCGGACGACTCCATGGAAGACAGACTAGCACGGGCTATGGAGGACGAGGTCGCGCAACACCCTGACGCTCTGGGTATTGACACTGCGAGTTCAGGAACTCGGGCTGACGTAGCCTCAATCTACTCGACCGCTTCGGACGCACCGCGCGAGACAGGCAAAGCCGGGTGGAAGCTCAATCTTTGGAACAACACGAGCAGAAAGAGCAGCAGAGCTCCTTCGATTGCAAGCATGGTCGATCGAGAAGCATCGAGCTTATCAGGGCAGACCCGATCTCGAGCAAATAGTGGAGTCAAGGCACCTCGGAAAGCTCTCGCAAACGATCTCTTCATGCCCCCTGGTTCGGATAAGGGAGGCAACGCAGTCCCTGCGCTGCGGCGCCTGCAGAGTCACGATCACGGCGGCGAGGGCATGAGTCGCCGATCCTCATCAGTCTCTGTCGCTAGTTGGGCGCTGAAGATGATCGCTGGGAATACTCAGGTGGCCAACACGAAGGCTAGCACAGTCAGAGGCCGCAAGCGCACAGACTCAGAAGATGTAAACCGTACACAATCTGTGGTGTCGACACGGACCACTCAGTCTGCGAAGTCGTCTCTTGCAAATGTGCAGAAGCGAGCTCTTGGTCCAAATGGAACTATCAAGAGTCTTGCGGGGGATACACCCAAGGTTGGCTCCAGCATCGCGAGTCCGCAGCCTTCTCGTGGCATGAGCAACCTTGGTCCAGTCGAGATGGACCGGATATTGCCTGAGGACTCACGACCACCAACCTTGGTCCAGCACCACAATCGCTTTGTAGGAAGTAGCGAATACGTGACCGATCGATTTGGATTCATCTACGACCAACGCCGTAAGAAGAGGCAAAGTGAGGCTGCTGCTGCCTTAGCTCAACATAGGCGGAACAACAAAGTGCAGTCGCTTGGAGGTGGCCGATCTGCTGTCAATTTGATGGGACTTGACGAAGAGAACGAAGACCCAGCGGAAGCTACAGGTGGCGACCCCTCACGACCATCTAGTTCAGGCTCAGATGATCTGAGTAACAAACCGGTATCTAAGTCTTGGGCAGATTACCTCAAGCTTTCCACACAGCCTACCGAGCTCCTGTCCCACACACCCTCAGCTGCCCCTATTACCACTGTAACATTGGAAGTAGCCGAAGCTGATTTGTCGAACCCGAAGAGCCAGATCACGATGACCAAGCGTGGGTCCTTGCCATCGACCAGCGCCAACCCAGAACCTGCACCGACCCGTGTCTCTTCGAACCACGCTGAGCTTTCAGTCGTGACTCCTTCTGCGCCTGCAACCCCCATCAGTCTGTATCTGCCTTCTCAAACCGATCCCGTGAAATCGCTGTTGGATCAAATGAGCGAGGTCCACGACACCATCCAGAAAGAGCGAACGCAAATCTGGAATGAGTTTCAAAAGAAGTCCCGAGCCCAACAGAAGCGTGAAGGCGATGCAGCTGCAGAGAGTGGCTCAAAAGCCATGCCGGAGACTCTCCTCAATGACGGCGAGATCATTGGCATTGCCAGCCTAGGCAACAAAGGCAAGGTCGGCCGCGCCAAATGGCAAGAATTTCGACGTCTTGTTCTCGGTGGCATACCTGTCAGCTACCGAGCCAAGATCTGGGCCGAGTGCAGTGGTGCTTCCAGTCTGCGTATCCCAGGATACTATGAAGACCTTGTCAATAACGGCGAGACGGATCCATCAATCGCGACACAGATCGAGATGGACATCACACGAACACTCACCGACAACATCTTCTTCCGTACAGGACCCGGCGTGCAGAAGCTTAATGAAGTTCTGCTTGCATACTCGCGCCGCAACCCCGAGGTTGGTTATTGTCAAGGCATGAACCTCATCACCGCCTGCCTCTTGCTAATTATGCCCACCGCCGAGGATGCGTTCTGGATTTTGGCCACGATGATCGAGACCATTCTGCCTCAGAACTATTACGATCAGAACCTACTCACTTCTCGGGCTGATCAGACTGTTCTGCGCTCGTACGTAGCCGAGCTACTGCCAAGGCTGTCTGCACACCTCGATGAGCTAGAGATCGAGCTCGAAGCTCTGACATTCCAGTGGTTCCTGTCTGTGTTCACTGACTGTCTCTCTGCGGAGGCGCTCTTCCGCGTTTGGGATGTCGTACTGTGCATGCACGATGGCTCTACTTTCCTCTTCCAGATCGCCCTTGCCCTGCTCAAACTCAACGAGAAGGCGCTTCTGCAGTGCAATACACCTGCTGGCGTCTACCATTACATCAACCACCAGATGACGAATCACGCTATCTCTATCGACGGTTTGATCCAAGCGTCGGACGCTCTTGGTCGATTTGTGAAACGCAAGGACGTCGAGGATAGACGCGCACGCGCTGTCGCGGCGGAACAGGAGCTTATGAAGCAGCGCGAGGAGGCGCGAGTCGAGCGCGCCAGAAAGAGGGCAAGTAAAGCTTCGGTTACGACTGAGGAACCAAAGTCGCCTGTCACGGAAGAGGATGCAAAGTCCATCTCTGCCAGCCTCAATGCAGAGCTCTCAATGAACACGAGCCCGATGCGAACGCCACTTTCCGGTCATAGCCAACGCAGCGATGAGGAAGAAGACGCGGAGCGATTGAACCGCGAGCTTGAACTCACTGAGCGTACGCCAATGCCTATGGAGGAAGAGTTCACGTGGCGAGGATAGGAGATGGTTGACGCGTCCTGTTTACCCCCGGCCTATTTCCTTTCCTTTCTCTCACCCACATTGCATCGATTGGCGCCATACATTGACATATTGCTTTACTGCGGGAAGCACAGCATACATATACCCACTTTCCTTCCTTTCCACATTGCATGCTGCATTTCTCTCGGGCGCTAGATATCTACACCTTCCTTACTGTTTTGAGGGAACTGGACTGTTCGTCCAAGTTTTGGTTACTTTTGTAGCGAATCCCAAACGTATCGTCCTGAGTTCTTCTTAAGACCTTTTTTTGATAGGCCTGCACGCCTGGACATAATGCCAAATGAAGACAGGGGCTATATCCTGTCTTCTGATTATTGTTGAAGACTTGGACGGTCACAATCGCAGACACTGCCACTATGGAGTTTGCATATCGCCTACGTCTGACGCTGTCCGTCGTCACAACTCATAACTAGCTAGTTGCACCAACCTCCTATAGCCAACACTCGAATCCTTTCGCGTATTACGACTCTATCCGGACCGCTCCTGGGTTCTATGATTTGCTCATTGTCGTTCTCTACGCCGAACGACAAGTCCGGACCAGCTGTGGGGCGACCGCAACGTAATAGCTGATATCGAGAGTCATGGGTATCAGATGAAGGTGGCCTGTTCTTTGCACGAGCTCTTGCGCCGTCTTCGACACGACAAAAGATTTTGCCGTCATGGGCGGACGTAGTCTGTAGACACCAGTAGGACTTGGTGGAGAAGACAGTTCAGGTCAACCGTTTAGGCCGCATCTTCCAAAATACGAAGTGGGCTTCTTTCTGTCTGTCAGACTCGGACCCAGCTTTGTCATTTCGGAACACACTTAACCGTATTGTGGTCTACCGAGGCTTCGCACAGCAGTGCGAGATATCACTCAAGGATGGAGGACAGAGTTGCCAAGACACTCCCTGCACCATATAACACTTTGGCGATCAAAGCACAGTCTTGTAGAGTTTTGAAAGAAACGTAAGATCTGTAGTGGTTTCACCACGCCCTTGCCCAGAGGTTCCGACTTGCCAAAGATTATGTGCTTAGCAGACTCATGGCATTGCACAGTAGCGAAGCGCAACAACAATTACCTTGGTCATAATTCACTGCACATGATGATCTTACTCTGGTCCTGGGTCTAATGCTCGCTTAACCAAAGAAAAACCCCGCAGGTGGAATTAAAGACAGATGTCTCTCCTCTGAAGCTTATCGCACGTGCGCAGCGCTCATAGCTTGGGCCCATGATGTGTGGAAGCGAATCCCATTACCCAAGCAATCGATGATGTTGTTCTAGCACGGCTCCTGCGGTACCTCCGAATACGAACAGGCTTCAGCCGTCATCCCCGAGTCGGAATGTCTGGTCCCTTAGGTAGTCGTCGAAGCTTGACTCGATGCGCGACTGCACGAGCATGAATAAGTCCTCCATTGTGATTCCTCCCTCGACAGTATACGGAGTCCAGGCTTTGCAGCGGTAGGAAGGATCGAAGGTGAAGTCACACTCCATCGTAATGGTGTGCGCAGGCGGCTGAGATATAAGCATCTTCCTCCAAATTGCTCCTGGTAGGCCTCGTGCCGTTTTACAAAGCGCTGCAGGATCTTTGCGCCTGACGTGTTCGGTTTCGAGTGTGGTAGGGGGACTTGATGCGTCCAAAGACTGTGCAGAGCGGAACATGTTCTGAAGAATTGGGTTGAACACGACATCTTCTGCGGAAGGCTTCGTTCGCTGAAGTCTTGGTGGGTGGTTGTAGACCTTGCCAATGTCAATCCAGAATATTGGTCGCAGTTGACGCTGGACTCCTCGAAGTCTGCGTGTGTCTATGACGAGCTTGAAGACGAGCGCTGGGCCATCGCTGACGTCCTCGACGCTCGGATTGAGAAACAGTGCCTGCTGCAGTTGTGGAGATCGTGAAATGGCTGCATTCCAAGACTTTGACACACGCAGGCATCGCGCCAGGCTCCAGAAGTCCAGAGGTAACAGTATTCCCTCCAGAATCTCCGTAGGCAAGGGACCCAGGGCGGCGCATGCAGCGTCGCTGTCAGGCGAGGATGAACGACCGGCGTCATCCTGCCCCTCCAGTGCCGACTCCAAAATAGTATCGTGGTAGGTGTCTCTAAGATATCGACAAATGGATTCGGCATACGCGGCACAGCGCATTTCAAGGAACGAAAAGAAGCATAGGCACGCGCACAGGCGTGTCTACAGGGGGCACACTGCTTGAAGAACAGTCGCTCATTGATATCGCGATGGAGATGAACGCCCCAAGGCCGAGAGTAATGCAAAATGGATTAGTACATGACTGCATTGCCGCCATTGCGGCCAGAGAGGTCACTGGTGGGTCTCGGGTCATTTTGCTTTTTGTACGCTCGCCAAATGTGCGGGTGTTCCTTTCGATCCTCAGTGAGGTCTGGGAAGAGACGAAGATCGAGGAAAGATCGCCGGTGGGGAGGCGGTTTACGAAGTACGCCAGTCGAGCTGACTTAGCAGGATTTTAGCGTTATAGCGTTCACTCCGATAAGAGTTCACCGGCATACGATCTGACCAATCATCTGCACGTCTGCTCGACTTCACTGCTGCGCGTTTCTGCTCGAGTAGTACACAGCACAAAGCCGACTTGAGTACATGCATCGTCGCTCTTGCGACACAATGCACCTTTAACAGCTTGTCGCTCTTGCCTAACAGAGGCGCTCGGGCACTTACGTCACCGCGAACCCAATGCTCCATTAATGATCTGCGCCTCCACAAACATCATGGCAACATTCGACACGCTACCCCTCGAGATACTGTTCCGGGTCTTGGACTCTGTTTCGAGCCCACACGATTCGATATCCTCCTCTTTTCATCCGCTGAACAGCCTCGCCGCAGCAAACAAGCATTTCGACTCGGCAGTAGAGGAGTACACACGTGTTCTACTAAAGCAACATGCCAACTTCGCGCCCAAAAAGAAATCTAAGACTTACATAAACCGAAAGAAATGGCTCGCCGAGACTTGTCAGCTCTGCTACAAGACAAGCAAGCGGAGATCGACGCTCTGGAGCGTTTTAACATGTTGCCTGACATGTGACAAGAAGCATTTTCCGAAAGTAGTATGTCTCAAAATACACACCTCCAAGAGGCCCTAAGTAATGACTTCCAGACTATGACCAATGCCATCAATCAACACAAGCTTTCGAAGCTTGACCTCTTCACGCCAAATCGCCTGCATCCTACCCTGCCATCTCTATCCCACGGGGAGTACCCGGTCATGGGCGGTGTCGCTACCAGTGCGTTTGATCAATACGATCAAACCATTATGTGTGCTGACTATCCAGTGATCTACGAGCCAGATCTTGTTGCGCGAGGAGATTATCTCCATGGTCTGCTTGGTCTCTTAGACCACACTGACAACAGTACTGCACGTAGACGAGTCAGGCGTCATGACCTGCTGATGATGCATATGGAAGTCGCATACTCTACCGCCCGCAAGATCTGGTATCGAAAATCTCCTTCATTGAGAGAAGAAGGCAAAGCACCGGCGGTCAGAAAGAGCATGGAGACCCGAGAGAGTCGAGACGCATTCGTGCGAGATGCTCTTGCGTCAGAGCGGGCTTCACTGCATTCTCAAGGCGCGTCAGAAGATACGGCTATCGAGCTCGATTAGATCTTATGCAAGGAAAGGCTAGCATACTTTGCACACAATTTTTTCACCTCACATGACTGACGAAGGACCTTTGCGCTCTCGAGCATCATTGTTTGTAAGATCGTCTTTATGATGTGAGTTGGTAAACTTCGCGAAAATGCAATCTCTCTTTCCGCAGACACTTAGCAGAAAGCGACATGAACAGGTCGATAGCTATCCACTCCGCTCCATTGGTTCTTAAGCATAGGAGCGAAAGCTTTCCCGATTACTCTGTGCAATCCGTCATCTGTAGGTCTGACGATGAAACGAGACCTTTCATCTCGATGCGAAAATTCTTTGAAACCAATGAGCACATCGCCTTCTCGAACTTCATTGGGACTGACTCTGATAATGCATGATCGAAATTAAATACTCGAGTACTCGCCGCCGCTCTGTGTGCAATGTGAATCCAAAGCTCAAACTTTATAACCTTATTGCATATGTTGTGTCTTATGGATCGGATGCATCCAGTCTTCATGCACTCATGGACAAATCTTGAACTGAATCCTTTAGATTTCCTAGCCCGAGATATGGCTCCTTGATTCCATGGCACCTAGATCTCCCAACCTTGGCGAAGCTGGGTGGTGAATAACGCCAGCGCAGGAACGTCAGTCACATCATGGAAGCTTCGTGTCACATTGCTAATTCTCTGCATATGAAGTCGATCGAAAGAGCCGTCGTGAGTCCCAGCAGTAGACGTTCGCAGTGAACGATGAGTGCTGCTCCATATAACCTTAGGTTGGCGACAAACTCTCCGGCGGAAATGGTTCGATGGCCATACACAAAGATTGGATTGAGTGAAAGTAAACGTTCTTGAAGGGCCTCAACCCTGTTATTTTGCTTAAGAATCTCCATTCTTCCTTCTCCTTGCATACGATCACCACCTGGGCTTGCCTACTTGCACAGGAAGGCTAGCTTGATAATCCACTCAAGCCAACATGAAGAATTCGAAAGGTGGATCATACACTGAGGTTGACACATGTTACTTTCAGACTGGTGAGCGTCTACATGCACCCGCCTTTCGCTTTTTAGCCTCCATGAATTATACTCTCTTCTCTTCCATACCGTAGCTCCCATACGGGAAATCTTCCAAGCTCCCGAGGTGGCGTGCCCAACCATCGTCGATCTCACCAGGCATACCGACCTGCCTCTTGCTCTGTTTTAAATCAACTTCGGTCTGCTGCAATTGCTGCTCTTCATCTTTCTTATGCTCGCCGGTCAATCCAGCTAACACCTCCTTCTCTTTGCTCTTATACTCAATCAGCAGCTCAGGATGAGGCACCCAGACTGCCTGCATGCCAGCTCTCCTCCCTGACTCGACACCTGGAACACTGTCCTCAAATACCAGGCACTCCTCTGGCTGAATCGGCGCCTCGCCCTTAGCCTCGAGCGTCTTGTTGAGCGTGGAAAGCGCGAGGAGGTAAATGTCCGGCGCCGGCTTGCCACGACCAGCAGGTATCCTCGGATCATCACCGAGGACCTGATGTTCAAGCTCGAAGTTCTGGAAGAGGTCACCGAGGTGCTCGCTCTTGATCTTGAAGTTGGTCTTGTTGCTGCTCGTTGCCAATGCCATGTGTACGCCCCGCTTCTTCAATCCCACCAGCAGGTCCATCACACCTGGTAGCGGCTTGGTATTTGGGAACAGTTTCACTTGAAGCTCTCTCTGCTCCCTGAAGAACTGCTCCTGATCAATAGGAAGTTGCGCCCACGAGTGGAAGATCTGGCCGGCTTGAGGGCCCGGACGTCCTTGTAGTTGTGCCTTAATGGACCATGGTAGTTTTGGCTTTCCGTAGCGGGCAAGGATTGTGTTTGTGATGTCTGTGTAAATGTCTTCCGAGTCAATGAGCAATCCGTCCATATCGAACAGCGCTGCGCGAACGCGTGGTAGTGGGGTAGTCCTATGGTTGTTAGCATTCGTGAACAGTGACTGTGGCAGTCGGGTATTCGAATCACATACTGTGAGCTCATATTCAAAGATTCTCGAAAGCTTGAGGTGTCTGTGGATAATGTTGATACTGCGACGTATATTTCCCCAAAAGTGACTCGCAACCTTGTGAACCGCGGCCAGCCGTTAGCGCGTTCGGGATTCGATCGACGTCATTCGAAAACAACTTTTCGACCTCACCTACCCACGTAGTCATGCCTACCAGAGAAGCCGAGCCCGTCACAAAGGCCAAAACCGACGCTACCTACACACCGCAGATCTTCTCTCCAAAAGAAGAAACACAGCTCCTCGAGGAGTCTAATATCGAAAAGACGTCCGCGAACAAGACGTTCACGTCAGGCGACTACAACACCGCGATCCAAGGTTACGAAAAAGCCCTCGCTGTTTGCCCTGGGTATCTTGAATATGATATCGCTGTCCTCCGCTCGAACATCTCCGCATGTCACATCAAGCTCGAAGAGTGGAAGGAGGCCATTGAATCGGCGACAAAGGCACTCGACGCACTAGATAGAGTTGATCCACCAGCGGTCAAAGAGACAGACGAAAATGGACGAGGAGAGCTGGCAGGCAGGGTCAGCGAAATCGACGATAGCACAGAGATACTTCTCGAAGCCCTCACGCGTACAAGACACAGCATCAACGATGTATACAAGTTGCGTACGAAAGCGCTCTTGAGGCGCGCAAAAGCACGTCGTGAGGTTGGTGGCTGGGCATCGTTGCAAGGGTCGCTGGAAGACTATCAGACACTATCGAAATCGCCGCATCAGTTGTCTAGCTTAGATCAGAAGGCTGTACAGGATGCGATAAGAATGTTGCCTACGGAACTGAACACGACAAAGGATAAGGAGATGGCTGAAATGATGGGCAATTTGAAGAAGCTGGGGAATGGTATTTTGAAGCCATTTGGGCTGAGCACGGACAACTTTCAGTTCACACAAGATTCGAAATCGGGGGGTTACAGCATGAACTTTAACCAGAACCCTGGAAAGTAAAATGTCATTATGTAAAAGTGCTTGCATTTGAGCTTTTCAGTTTGGTAGATTTGTTGGATATATGGCGATCTACCTGAGATACCCTAGACTGGAAGTCTTCAGAATGGCATGTACCATGCATAATGCTGAACTCCCCTGCGTCTCTTTCAAACAACTCATGTCCTTCTGTCACACATACGAAGTCTCGTGAGATTCGCTCAGCTCTTCAGAGCCTCAAGTCTACCACGCATTTGTGCAAGCATCTCTGCCTGATCGTCCTCCTCTTCCTCCTCTTCTGGATGTGCCACAGATGGCAGCTCCTCCTCTTTCACTTTGCTCGCCGGTAACCTGTCCTTCAGGATATCTGACAGAACCTTGTCGACCTCCTCTTCTGCCTCCCCGTCCTCCTCAAGACCATCGGTGTCCATGAGGGTGTCGTCTACCATCTCCTCAATGATGCCAGCTTTCATGAGTTCAGACGAGAGCTTGCGCATAGTGCCTGTCAGCTCTGGCAACCTGACCAAGGAGTTCACATCCTTCATGATCCCTGTGCTTGCCTTAATGCTGCCCTCGATCTTGCGTACGGAGAAGGCCTCGTTGACCTGCATCTGCACGGAGTTGAGTTGCGCTTTGCTTGTATGTAAACGGCTACTCTGTTTTCGTACGCGAATCAGCTCTCGAGCAAAGATTCGCACCTCCTGATTCGCCTGCTTGGCCATGGAGGGGTTTCTTTGTGCGCGCTTGGAGGATTGGAGGATGAGGGTTTTCGTCTTCTGCTCGGTCATCTTGAGGCCTTGAATGTCGCGGTCCAGCTTGCGCACGTTCTGTCGTACGAGGGCATTGCATTTCCGCTTCTACCGGGTTGTTAGATGATTTCCAAGAACCTGGCTCGCGTTGCGCGTACCTGCTCTTCAGGTGTGGGTTTCCACAGAAGACCACGGATGGCCTCCATGGCGCAGTTTCAGGCTACCGAAGTTGTCTATGTCGTGTGGTATCGGGCAGTTGTAGGCCCAGCGTCCGGCGCCGAATGCGCAATGAGGGAGTTTGGTCACAGTCGAGGGGGTGCACCTCACAGGCTCACTCAAGGAGATTATTGACACTGTCTTTACAGTATGACAGTAGAGAGCGTTGGTCACAGCGCGGCTGCGGCTGCGCGGTGGTCGACGTGCAAGGGTGAAGTCCGCAATGGTGGTGCCTTGGTTTACGACAGATGCCGGCGCTCGCTCGGGCCAGTTCAGTGACCTCACGTTTCGCGGGGCAGGTACCGGTACATCCCACTGGGTGATGGCCACCAGAGCAACAGCAACGCCTCACAACAACTGCTTCAACACCGCCTGCCTCACTCGCAGCTTTCGACCAGCTCGTTGACAAACGAGAAGCTCCATACCCATCTTGTGATTGTCCGGCTGCAGTTTGCTAGCAGATACTAACCACAAAACTGGGGCTGAAGCTCGTCCTTCTACAGCTTCCATTGCTTTCTACGCTAGTCTCTCCACAACATCGCATTTCTTCCGTCTTCTCGACCTTGACTTTACAGCTACACGACTCCGTCATACAACACATAAAGCATTCTGCTTCACGCAACTTCGATACCTATTTCACGCCTGCACATTCACATCCACAATCATGTCCACACCTACCGTCACACCCGAAGGTAAGTGACAGCCTTATCGACACTCCAGTTGTCCCCCTCAACAGCGCTGGACAAGCTTGCTGTCGAATGGCAGCACGGCAATTGACAGACGCGAAAGCTGGAGCTACCTTCTCAGCATCGCACGCTAACTCGGCGCAGTCACCTGGGCTCAGCGCTCGTCCGCTGACGACGCCGAGAGAAACTACGTCTTCCTCACCATTGTCGCCGCCGATGTCCCAGAGTCCGACCTGAAACTCGAACTGCAACCCACAAAGCTCAGCTTCAAGGGTACTTCAACATCGAAAAAGGTCACCTACGCTGTTGATCTTGAGTTCTTCGCCGAGATTGACCCCAAGGAGTCCAAGATCCAACATAGCGGTCGCGATGTCACACTCGTCCTCCGCAAGAAGGAGCTCAAGGAGGAGTTCTGGCCGCGTCTGCTCAAGGACAAGGCGAAGGTTCACTTCCTGAAGACCAACTTTGACAAGGTCAGTAACATCCATGCAACGTAGTAGCCGAATTAGGCGCTCAAGTGCAAGAGCACGGCGCTAATGCTGCACAGTGGGTCGATGAGGACGAGCAGGACGAGGCTCCCGCCGACGACGAGATGATGAACCAGATGAATCCCATGGGCGGCGGCGACGGTGGCTTCGGTGGCATCGACTTCTCCAAGCTCGGCGCAGCTCAGGGCATGGGCGGCCTCCCAGGAATGGGTGGCATGCCCGGCATGGAAGGACTCGAGGGCGATGACAGCGACGACGACGATGAGGACATGCCCGAGCTTGAGGACGACGAGGCCAGCAAGAACAAGCCCCCCGTCGCCGTCGCCGCCGCATCTGGCGACAAACCCAAGATTGAGGAGGTCGCATAAATGTTTGATACCCTCGCTACGACTGAATGACACGAAAAGTGGAGGCAGTGAGTTTACGACTGTACGGCGCTATGGCATATCTGGGCGATGTTTTGTTCGGGATATGACTTAGCATGAAGGCGGCGTATATTGGGAGCGCTGCGCAGACTCCGACGAGCCTTGCACGGGTATACAATTGATGACTTCTACATGACAGATGAATCAAACGATACTCCATTATATTCTCGACCAATCTTGGCTCTTATCTATAAGTGGCTGTGGTATCAATCGCTCATAACAGAATACCTCCCAGATAATTTCGCTTTTTGTTCCACCATCAATGACAAATTACCATGGACATCCTAACTCCTAATCGCCCCGGATGATCTTGCCAACAAACTTCAACTCCCACTCCGCAGGATTGTTGCCCACGAACTTTGCATTGGCTCGCTCTTCGAGCGTCTGCGTCGTAACAGCAATACCCTCGTACCACTCCCGGATCGTCTCATCCACATCGTCACCCCACATAACCAACATCCCATCCGTGCTGCGCGGGATCGGCTTCGGTGGTACACCGCGCATCTTGAGTAACATATTTAGAATATCGCTGAATCTTTCACCCTGCTGCGAGAAAGACGCCGCAGGCTTATCGAGCGGCCATTTGGGATGTCTGGCAGATTGAAAGCCCATCGTCAGCTCAGAAGGGGACTGCAAGGCAGAAGGCAGAAACTCGTCAACTTTGGAAGCTGATTCGGTGTGCAAAGGCTCTGCTGCTGCTGGTACTTCCCAGGTCCGGAAGAGCCAGCACATGCGCTCCACGCTGGTGAGTAGGATAACAGCGACGAGAAAGGTTTCGAATGCATTCTGTTGTTGACGCTGTAAGAGCCGGCGTTCGAGATCGTTCATTACGACTCGGGCGACGCATGCGGCGCGCTTTTCGGTAGCACCCATCAATTGCTTTTTGATGAGGTTGTAAGATGTGGGGTGTGCGAGCTCAGTGATGGGAGAGCGGGAGGCGTCTTCCATATCTGATGGGGAAAGCGTTGGTGCCGAGAGTGTTGGTGGTAGAGAGGGGTTCGAGAATATATGCCAGTGCAGGTTGCGAGACGTAAGCATGCGGGTGTAGTGCCAGAGCTCCATAACCTTTGCTAACAGACCATCTTGGTTCGATGAGGCTAGCCTCAGTGCTGTCTGCTGTGTTGTTTTCATGAATGCTGAATCCTCTGACGTGAGAAAGTCATTGCCAATCTTCTTCATATAGAGATCCAGCTTGCCGCTGATGTCATCCTCTTGATCTATGATTTCAAGATCTGGAGTACGGACTGCAGCGAAGATTGCAGGATCGATATCAGCATTTTGAGTTGCTTGACTATGGTGGCATTTTAAAGGGGTGAAAGTGGAAAAGATGCCAGATGTGGGGAAATGCGATGCCTCGATGCGACCCGGGGTCTGATCCAGGCGTATTTGTCCCTTAGCTGCGGTGGTAGCATGGTACGCCAGTACGCCATGTAGACCGGCCGAATAGAGATTGAATTCCTCGGCGATGCGTGTTCTGATGCAAGGCTGCTTCCATAATCGCGCGCTTTCAACGTTCTGGCATGTGTTGCAGGGGTTGTCCCCAGAGCATGGTTTCTTCAACATTCGGCATCGAATGCAGGCGCCTCGTTTGCGAACTTCTTGCACCTCTTTTCGGCGAGTGTCGGTAAAGCGACCGCGAACCTTGGGCTTCGCAGGCTTCTGGTGGATGCTGAAGTCGGTCGTGAAGTGCGTCTGGGTATTTGGGTTGATTGCAATCGACCGTGGCTGAGGAATTTTCTGGTGACTTTCCTCCTTTGGCAATAGCTGATCCTTACTGTGGTCTTGCAGTAGCGGGTCTAGAGGGTGAGGCTGAAGATTAGGCCATTGCGGGCGCTGAAAGCCCATGCCGTTGTGGGCAAGACTGAGGTCCGAGTCCATGGTCATGCTATTGGCGAGTGGCATGAGGTCGTTAGCCGCGGAAGCCGCCATAACCAGTGAGGGCACCATTTGCGCCATCGAGCCAGAGCTCGACAATGGCATGTGGCTCATGTGGGGTGAGTTTGTAGGCGAATGGTGCAGAGGGCCATTGAACTGATACATCGACGGCAGAGCCGGCGCCCCGGACATATCCATGGCTTGAGACAGCCCGCTTAAGTCTGTTCCTTCAGTCCTGTCATCTTGTATCCATTCGTCCAGCAATTCCCCATGCCCTGTATTGTGTTGCAATTGCTGCAGAGGCGGTCCTCGCTGCTGTTGCTGGTCGATTGGACGTTTGCCGGAGAGGTCCAGATGCTGTCGCGAAACTTCTGCAAGCGTCTCAAGCGCAGACAGTTGTTTCGAAGGTGTAAACGGGAGATTGACCCTCTGACCATTGTGCACTGGGCCGGGCGCATTCTGGATCGTCTGCATGTTCTCGGGGAGAGGCAGCTCGTGAAACTGCAGCAGCGCCCGCTGGCGGTCGCGCAGAGGTAGTGCCGGACATTTCTTGACCAGGTGGTTCGTGAGGCTGTCTATACGGCCTTTGGGAAACTATGCGCGTGGTCAGTTGGCGGTACGTTTCTTTTTCAGATTTGGTTGGTCGTACCTTTTCACCGCATGATTTGCACGTGTGTTGATAGCGATTGCTCGCGTCTTCGAGCTTGGGCCCGCGCTCAAAGTACTCGAGAATGAGCTGATTTGGCCGGCTGCAGTTTTATCAGCAATTGCGCGTTGCGAAGGGGCGGCGGGGAACTTGCCGACCCATTTTGTCAATTGTCGACGGATCAGTGGACGTTGGCGGTGAGTTGAGCGGTGGCTACCGTGTCCACCGGGTCAATGCACGCACCGGGTCAATGCACGAATTCGGCACACCTCAACACCACAAAAATGATGCTATATAGCAACCCACAATAGTAATCGATAAGTAAATTCTTGGTAGAGGCATCTGTAGCCCTAAGCGACAATGTTTCCAGTTTTAAATTAATAGTTTTGTGTAGCAACGCGGCCGCTGCGGGTGGTGTGAGTGCGAGGTGCAGGTGCAGGCACCTCTACTACAACACCACTCCGCGCACTCGCAGCACGCCTCTAAGGCTTCTGAGACTTCTTCTAAGGCTTATTTGATGCTTTGCGCTTACCTAGTTGAGGTAATTGTATAGCTTTTGCTGCGTTGCGCTCTTGTTTCTTGCGCTCATTTTCTGCCTCTGCCTTACCGTGGCCGTGCGCCCGATGAGCCAGTTCAGCCGATGAGCCACCCCAACGAGATATTGACAGTAGGAAAATGAAGCTGTAGAGCCACACCCAAAATGTGTTATTGCAAGAAACGTTAACGTACCTCACGGGCGAGTGGCCGGCCCGGGCGAGTGACCGGATTTTGCTAAGACCACACCAAACTTCAACTTCTCTTGCATATTACAGCAAGTTACTGCAAGTTACTATAACTTATAGTATACAGCACTAGTCTACAGTATCTTGTACATCTTTTATGCACGTTCGCGCGTTATACCCTGCCTTACTACACCTACTAGGCTGGCGGATGGGTAGGGTATGCTTTTTTACGTTTTGGCTTATAGCTTCTTAACTAGCAGAGATACGCTTACATAATCTATAATTTAATAGAAGCGCCTAGTATTGCGCCTTCTAATAAAAAAAGAATTAGCTTATTCTACCTAGTATTAGCTAAGTTATTAACACTACCTAGCAAAGTATACCTATTAATAGGTATGCTTGCTAGGTACCCCCCCTTTTTTAACCTTTTCTAGCCTCTAGCTT